TTTAAGGTGAATGATATACTAAACACTACTTTCTGTCTATGGATTCTGTAAAATTATCATGTAAATGTTCTACCAATTTGCTGTATATTTTTGTTGCCTTTTGCTTTTTTATTAATCTGTGCAATACCTCATTTAATCTGTAAAGGTTTGTCATAATCCTCTACAAAGCTACTCCCTGTTAATGTGTGCGAGTTTACACCTGGATGATCGTGTACATGTGAATACTTTCCATTCCATCAACAAGGGAGTTCAAATGTAATATGTGAGACTGACAAAAACCTTAATGTAATTTAGTTATAATGCAAGAAGGAAAACACTATTTTCATACCCTACTTTTTCTGTATCTAAATTTTCTTATTAAAACCTAGTATAGCACTATGTTCTTTAAGTGATGCAGCTCTTAGTTTATTTAGCCCCTTCATTTCAAATGCAACATTACATGAATGTTGAGGCTGGTTTATAATATTGCACAGTTTCAAATACATCACAACATTGCAGTTCAATTCTTAGCAGTATGCTTTACATAAAACAAAATCACTACAGATATGCACAGCTAGTTGTGAAGATTACCTTGCCCTAACTGTAGCAATATGGACTGCTATGGAACAGCAGTGAATAATTGAATGCTTTAATTAGGGAATTGTCTATCTGAGGTTAAACAGGGTGGCTTTACGCTATAGTAGTGGTAAAGGCATCTTTGATGCAGACCAGTTCAGTCCTCTCTTTCCAGCTCTTATCTTTCAGAATGAAGAAGTGTAAATTGCTGGGGACTATACTGGAGTCTGGCAATTGCTGCAGTTTGATTTATTTTTAAAATCAATTTTATGTGGTTTTTGGGCTGAAGGGCTGCGTTTAATGCTTGCTTCAATAATGTTTAATTACATTTTAAAATGTGTAGGGCATTGGTGTACTAATAAAGTAAACTTAAGTGGTATTACTTTGCAGTCTTTGAGTTATGGTACATAACAAATGCTAAAACACCAGTCCTACATCCAGGAAGTCGGAAAGCCATTAACTCAGACTACACACTTTGAATATGTACTGAACTTTATGGCAATATTCTGTCTTCATACGTTGGCTTTAAGACCAAGGGTTATGTTGAAGGTCAAGATTCCTATTCACAGGAATGGTATTTGAGTAAGTGGACAGAAAATGGGTTTCTCATTTCACAGCTTGCACATTTATATAAGTTGTACTTTATAATGTGGTAAACATTGGCATATTTGCCTATTACAAAACACTAATCTATGCTAGGTGGGTATTTAATATCTACAGCACTAATTTACTGTTACTTACTGTAATTTTCGGGTAGAGAATCTTTTTTTTAAGAGGACTACATTATCTGACACAGAATATTTAGTTAAGTCAGTCATATTTGGAGCATAGTTAACACATAGTGTCCTGGGTCTTTGACTGTAGTCAAGGTATCAAACAAAAATTTAAGTTATCAGAATTGTATTGACTGAAACCCAGTGTTGGCCTGATCTTGACAGGCTGGACCTGCATGATACGGCTTGGATTTCTAACCCAGTTATAACCTAGTCTTTAGAGAATGAGTTTAGACATATAAAAAGAAACGAAAGTTGCTGAAAAGTAGTGGGAGAGGTAAGGTTATATAGTTAAGTTATTCAGAGGATGCTGACTTCCTTCCAAGAGTAATTTAAGCACATAACTTGAGGAAAAAGAAAATTCCAAGCAGTCTAACTTTCTTGCGGTCGCTTTCGCATTGCCCTCTTCTGTTGGAAGCACTTCCTACTAGCTTTGCTGCTGTAATGGCTTGAGCACTGAGTCAAGTGCAAGTGCAGCCTGGGGTAACTAATGTCAGTGGAGTTGAGAGCTTGCGTATAAGGAAAACAATTGTATGGCTTTCATATAACTTCTGGCACTGCTTCCTTATTTTTATTGCATATAGGGCATTTAAAATTAAGCAGATGAGGCCTATAGGTTTTCCTAACATGCTACTTACTAGATATGTTTAGCTCTTACGGTTTCTGAGTTGGAATTTCTGTAATATAATTATGCGTTACAGTTCATTATTCAGATTTCTATTCCAAGTTTTTGGGAGCTCTGATGAAGTTGCGTTATTGAATAAAACTTTGATTTGTAGATACTGGCCAAAGAAAGTTTCGGGGTTTTTTTTGTTTGTTTGTTTTTTCTCTCCATATAAAAAGTACACTCACGTTTTGTGGTGTCCAGATTAATATTAGCTTTAAAATAGTGTGTGTACATGATAAAATTCAGGCATAAAGACTGCAATCGCAGTTAAGGTAAAGTCATAACCGCATGCTTCAGCGCTCCACCACTTGCACTATGAGCAGAAGATAGCTTTTCATGATACTGGTGCATTGTTGCTAAACATTGTAATGAAGGCCTCTCCGATATACTCTGGTTAAATGACTATCCAGATAGCCTTAGCAATTAACAGACTAGCATGAGGCTTTTGTATTTCAACCCTCTATGTGCATAGACAATATCAGCTAGCCACTTGTACGTATGAAATCCATAAGAACTTTTCATTCAGTTTTCCATTTATCAAACTGAAATTTTTAGTATGTGAATTTTTGAAATGTACAGTGAATAGGATGTTGCACTGGTGGCAATTCATCATGGAGCATAATAAAATTAATTTGACCCAACTAGTGTAAAACTCTGGTGGTTTTTCATTTGTTTCTTTTGTTTTTTTTTTTTTTATAAGTACTGATTGTAGCACAGCTTTTAAAATAGCTATACATATTGATTACACACTTTGAAAGTAATTTTAGTGTCCTAGCCAAGTTCACAAAGCAGTAAATAGTTGCTGTCAAATCTCAGTAGTTTTCACATCTCTGGAAAGTTGGATAGCGCTAGTGAATGAATACAATGAGGAAGAGAATGTAACACCCTGTCCTCCTGGCAAATCTGACAGCTGCTCAGCAGCTTCTCTGGAAACAACTACTGTTGCAGTCAGGTTCAATAATACAATAACGTTTCAAGGTTGAACCAATATAGCTTCATTAATAAACATTCCAGAATGAATACTAAATAGTAAACTCTTCTCAAATACTGTAACTTATTAACCTTTTCAAGATGTAAATCTTTATCTTGTGCATAATACCATGTTTCTTGAGCTCATTCCATTTCAGCACTCTTGTTTTTCTTCTCTAAGCCTGAAGAGTCTGGCATCTCAAATGTTTATCTTGTGTACACTTCCGCTTACTTTTCTAGTTATAGGCCTTCAGTACAACACAAAGTTCGAATTGTTACTTACAGGGCTTGCTTAAGCATACAGTGATTTCCTTTCTACTTAGTGAACAGAAGTTTAAAACATGCTTTTGAAAGGAAGCTTTTTTTCCCATGTTATTTTACATTATTTAATGACAATAGTTATTATGTTTCCAAGTAAGGTATATGTAAAGAGGAAAAAGGAGAGGTGTTTTTTTTTTTTTTTAAAAAAAGACTGTTGTCAATCCATTGCAACAACCTTTATCTAATCATTAGAGGAATTCCTAGTCCAATTAAAGTTCCTGAAGCTTAAGTACAGTGATAAGCAGCTTTATTTTTAGAAAAGTCAAAATGGTTTAGGGAAGCTTAGAAGATATTAGATCTTTTTCTCTCAAAAGGACCAGGGTTACTGCATAACACTACCAGAGAACTCCTATTACAGTGTATTTGTTTATTAACTGGAGTTGTCTTGTGTGTAAGAAGTAGTAAAGTATGGAGTAATA